TCTTATGTATCGGTGTATATGATAAAAAGAACAATGGGTTTAGCCAATATGACTTCGCTCTCGAAGATCTCCTACAGTTGCCCTTTGTTCAGAGCGAGGAGCAGCTTACGCTCTGTGTGTTGCTATGTGCTTGAGAACTTTGATAGCGTGACACACCATCCTCCTGCACAAGAGGTCGATGGTGCAGCCCAGCTGTCAACAAAGGTGCAAGCGCCAGTGCCTTTTAATTTGCAGTGAGACGAGATAAAGTTAAGTTATCCAGGCAAATGAAACAGCTTTAATGTTTCCTGATATTCCCTTTAGCGTATGCATGTATTAAAACCTATGATATTTTACAGACAGACTTTCAAATGAAATTAGTCAAAAGATCGCTGGCGTGTTAAGAAATTGCCATTTGTTGCGTGAGACTGTTCGCAACAATTAGACGTACGTACTACTGTAATATGTATTGATTAGGCAACACACGACCACGACTTTTGGTTCAAGCGATCATCTTCTATATTAAAGTACATCGATAATCAGTGCAAGCATCACTATAAATATTCTACTGAGATCTTTGATCGCATCAGTTACATGCTTGGCATCCGTGAGATAGATCACGTGAAAAAATCTGCAATGAAATTGGTAATGCGTTTATTTGTTTTGTTTAAAATCTGTCATAAATCGATTAAAATAATTTGCACAAAATATCAAATCAACTCAGAATTATTAAACAGGTTTACCTTTCCTGTGAAAAATCTAAGCAGAATTTTTTCTTTGTGACATCTTTTAATAATTTGAGATCATGAAGAACATATCCCTTGCCTTTTATAATTTGAATATTGTATTAAAACCAAAATATATAATTATTATTCTTCTTATATGCACACTACTATTGTTTTTAACAAACTTTTTTCCAAAACATCCTTATGAATACATTCATCGATAATTAATCCTAATCTATAAATCTTTTTTTTTTAAGATAGGGTGACAAACGAGCACACAGTCCACTTGATAGTAAGTGCTTGCTGTGACCGATAGAAATCCACATCTTATCCTCAATAAAGAATCAAAATGCAGATACGTTATCACCTGTGATAAAGATGGAATGCCTCTTTTTCAGTAAAAAGGGTCTCCGGTTCTCTACACCCACCATACGGAACACGGCAGTGTTAAGCTGCTATTTTACGCTGGCATTCTATGAGAACGTGGTCTTTCCCTGGTCGAGCTGACCCTTTCGTGCTACAACTATACTACTAATATAGCTGCAGCATATCTCTACCACGTAAAATCTATTGACATTTGTCTTTTGCTTTTGTTATAATAAATTATTGTATTAACTCTTAGTTTATTATATTTATTGCTTTTATAACGTGTCGTGTTTCCTTTGTAACTATGTAAATTAGTAAATTAATGTCATAATTTCAGATCATTCTAACCGTTTTCATCGCTTGCTCAAGCGCAGCGAAGTTAAACGGGGCATATCTACCACCAAACTATGCCCAGACATCGGGAGGTTCCAGCGACTTTCTTCAAACGCCTCTTTCAAGTCCTACGTCTAATTTTAATGAATTCTCCGGGCAAAGAAATGATGGTTTCCCTTCTAAAGATATTCTCGCTCATAACAAGTATGCCCAAGACGCTAACGATTTCATCGAAAACAGTAATGGCATACTGCATAGTCAAATAAATTCCTTTGAGAATTATGAAACTCGCTCTGAACATCCCCGTGCTGCTTTAGAAAGGAATGCGGCAACTCTTCGACAGTTTAATAATAATGATGGAGAAACCATCTCATATGCTTTTACTTACTTATCTTCACGCACAATCCCTGACGGGGTAGCCAGAGAGAACAGATCGCCAAGTGTCACGATCCTTACAAACCTCTTTCGCTTCTTTCAGATTCATTATCTTCTTCATGCATGCACGTCGAAGTATCCGAGTACTTTTGACCCTACCCTCTTCGAGCAATTTGCTCACATGATCTTCGAAAGTTAGTCTCGGTCTACCTCGACACCTTTTAATATTAACTTTCGCGCTATATATTTTCTTCACCATTCGGTCTTCACTCATTCGCTCAACGTGCCCAAACCACCGAAGCACGCCCTTATCAATTTTTGTGATAAGGTCATCTTTCAAACCTGCCATATTGCGAATTTCTTCGTTTCGCTTTCGGTCGGCCATGGTAACGCCGCACATTTTACGAAGAGATCGCATCTCCACTGCATTCAACTTACTTTTATGCTTCTTCTGGCATACCCAGGTTTCGCTGCCATATAACAAAGTCGGTACCAACACTGCGTTATGTATTGCAAGGCGTGCACTCTTCGCTATGCCTTGCCTTTTGACTAACGCAGTCGGGGCACCATTGACTTTGTTCCCGGCAGCGACACGCCTGTCCACATCTAAATCACATTTTCCATCCCGGCTAAAAGCACTCCCCAAGTATACAATTTCATTTACCTGTTCTAGATATTCCTGATTTACCCATATTTCACACTTCGTTCTCTCTTCGTCCCTTTCAAATACCAGAACCTTAGTTTTATTAGCATTCAAACGGAGACCTTTAATTTCACATTCCTCTTTCATACACGTGACTAATGCCTGCAGTTCTGCCTCTGATGGTGCAATAAGCACTGCATCATCAGCATACAGCAGACAATTTACTTTAATGTCACCCAATTTCACACCCAAACAACTATCTTTCAGCTTCTGTAAACAGCTGTCGAGATACAGTATGAACAGCCAGGAAGACATGACACAACCCTGCTTTACGCCCGTTTGGACGTTAAACATGGGTGACAGGTCATGCCCTACCCGCACACAGGCTTTACAGTCACAGTAAAGAGACTGCACAGCCCTTAGCAATTGACCATCCACACCATACCCCGGCAACAGTTCCCACATTTTCTTCCTTACAACCTTATCAAATGCTTTCTCAAGATCCACAAAAGCACAGAAAATCTTCTGGTTAGCAGCCAGAAGCTTCTCCGTGATCATGCGGAGAGAAAACATTTGATCCGTGCATCCTCTTCCAGGTCTAAATCCGCATTGTGCCTCCCATAGAAATCTTTCCGATTTCTCTTGCATCCTACGTGTCAAAACCTTCGAGTAAACTTTACTTGCTAAACTGGTCAAGCTGATCGCCCGATAGCACCCGCAGTCAAAATGTGAACCTTTACCTTTATATAAAGGCACAATGACTGCGGATCGCCAATCATCCGGGACATCCCCCGTCCGCCAGCACAAATTGCACAGCAGATGAAAGCTGTTCCAGACGCGAGGCCCACCATACTTGACCATTTCAGCAGTAACTCTGTCTAGTCCCGCAACCTTACCACATTTCAAACTTAGAATCGCACGTTCAATCTCTTTCATACTGATGACCTCAGTGTCATCGAGGTCCGGGTCTGGCGTACCAGTCACGGCGTCATCCCCGGATCCCTCACTAAGATCATCATAGGCATACATTTCTCTATAAAATTCGCTCCATCGCTGCATGACGTCCGATTTTTCTGAGAGGACGTCATTAGTTCTCGAAAGCACTTTGTTCATTCTTAAGGCCGTCGCACCACTTCAGGCCCTTCCAACCTCTTTCCAGAAGAGTTTGGAGTTCTCCTTAAAGTTGTGCGACAACCTTTCGTCCGCTTCCATTCTACACCTTTCACGCACTTCCTCAATCAGTGCTTTCGTGTGAACTTTCTGCAGCCTATATCTTTCTTTCATCTTCTCTCTCATATCCTTATCATTACTAGAGGCCAAATAGTCTAACCATGCTTTCTTCTTCTTCTTTACAGCTTCTTTCACTTCATCATTCCACCATGCATCTCTTCTTTTACTACTGCCTCTTTTTATTGTTCCACACACTTCTTCCGCTGCACTTACCATTCCATCCCTAAGGTTCTGCCATGTTCTTTCTACACATTCTTTTCTGCCATCGATGGTGTCAAGCTTTTCGGCTACCCTCGCATGATATTTGTGCCTAGTATCCGCTTCCTGAAGCTTCCAGCTTCGGATGCGACAGACCGACTGTGGTTCTGTTACTGCCGTCCGGTAGCGCCAACCCGCGAACAGACCCCTAAATCTAGTAATCACTAGATAGTGATCCGTTTCCAGGTCAGCACCCCTGAACACTCGCGTATCCATCACCTGTTTTCGCAGTCGGTCATCCACCAGGAACAAATCGATCATACTTCTCTCATTCTTTCGTTCTCTAGTATACATATGGATTTTCTTGTGATTAAACATAGTGTTTGTCACAAGAAGACCCTTTTCCTTGCACACCGCCAGTATAAGCTTGCCAGCATCATTAACCCTTTTATCGCCAAACTTTCCAAGTACCGACTCGTACCCTGGTCGAGCGGTACCAACCCATCCATTCAAATCACCACATACAACAATTCTTTCGTTTCCCCTAGCCAAATCTAGAACTTCTCTTACATTCTCCCAAAACTCCTCCAGCTCAGCCCTGGACGACGAAGCTACCGGCGCATAAACAGCCAAAAGGAATAACTTCGTCAGTCCCAATTTAAAGCGAACCCAGAGAAGTCTTGAGTTCACAAACTTATATTCAGTCATAACATCGACCAACCGGGAAGACAGCAGCACCCCCACTCCCTGGCAGGCGTTCTCGCTCTCCGGGACTCCGGACCATAGAGCTAACGCCCCGCCAGGGAGCTCTTCAGTACCACTGCCCTTCCGTTTGGTCTCCGACATACACACGACATCTAATTCTCTTTCTTTCATTATTTCGATCAACTCATTCGTCTTATCTCTCATGCCTCCTCTAACATTCCACGTGCCAACTCTGCACTCTGTCCTCCACCTTCCACCGTATCGGGCTGTGCGTGACGGGTGGCGGTCCCCATCGCCGCTTTGCACGCTGCATTCCACACCAACGGGGACGAGCTGGTGTGCGTCGCCTTGGGGGACGCCCTAACCCTCGTTGGCATGGGTGCGCAGCTAGTAGAATTGCAGCCCTGAAAAGGGCTGGCAGGGGTCGCGACGAGCACGCTTCTACAATGACCCCCTACCCCTACCTACCCTCATATGCTTTTGAAACTGAAAATGGTATATACGCAGAAGAAAATGGTGTGGCTACAAATGGTGTTGAAGCGCAAGGCAGTTATTCCTACACTGGTGATGATGGACAAGTATACAGTGTCAGGTGAGTAGTTGATGGGTAACTTTTAGACTTTAATAGTAACAGCTGTATTTATTTTTTTAATTACCCCAAAAACAAGAAACACATATACGTCGGCGCTTTAGCCTCATATTGTTTTGTATTGGTATTATTTATTAAGAGTATTAAAACACTTGTTCTTATTAGACATAAATCAGACAAATTTTACCGTCCTCTAAATCTGCTACTAGTTAGTATTAAGTATAAATTTTCTCATAAATATGTTTTTAATAAAACATATAACCTAAAAATATATCTAGTACCAAAATTTATCGTATCATCATATATCGTCATACATTTAAATAATTTAAATTTTTCCTTTTCTTTTTTTTTACGAAAAAATTATCAGTGTATACCATACCATGTATACGTTACATAATATTGAACACCAAGAAAATTGTTTTTCTTTTATTTTCATATTAAATCCCATTGAAACAATCTTTAATAGGCCTTTGTACAGTAGTGGAGTTATGACATAGATATAGACATTGAAGACGGTGATGAAAATTTAAAAACAAATGATCAATAACAATATTCTTCACAGATATACAGCTGGTCAGAACGGTTTTGTGCCGGAAGGTGACCACCTCCCTACGCCTCCCCCTATTCCAGAGGAGATTTTATTGGCTCTAGAACAAAACGCCCGTGATGAAGCTGCAGGAATTTACGATGATGGTACATAATATTACAATAGCTACTTTTTCATACAGGTTTCTTTTTAATTCTACTTCAGGGTATTTTCTTGACGTTGCTTAGAGTTACCTGCAGGGACAGTCGCGTCCGTCGTGAAGAACAGGGAACAGGGACCAAGGAACTGAAATTTGAATTGAATTGAAAAATTGAATTTGAACTAATCAATGATGGATAAAGGTTTTTAATCATTATATATATATATATATATATATATATATATATATATATATATATATACATATATATACATATATCCATACTACTCTCTTAACATTAGTAAACTGAGTAATCGTTTTTCATCCATAGGTACTCTTGTATGAAAATATCGATATAACACGATCGTCTGCCTCGTGGGTCTGTGGTCGTAAACGTGGTTGCTAATCACAAAGTTCGAATCCCGGGTCAGGCCAAAATTAGTTATTGGGTGTTTCTATCAAGAAACTCTCAGTAGCTGCCCGGAGTCATAAAAAAATGGCGGCGTTACATCCCCGTGCCTCGAGAAGCACGTAAAGCCGACCAACAAGACCAACCACCGCGACCGATATTCGGTCTTAAGGACATTTCAAAAACTACATCCTACCCCAATTTCTCACTTTTTAATGTACTTTCCTTTATATTTACAAACCACGTGTGATTAATTTTCAGGGTCCTACGATGAATACAAGTATTCTAATGGAGACAACAGATACGAGACCCCGATTTTTGGCGATAGTAATGCAAATGGAAAGAATGTCAACAAAATAAATGATGATGACTCCGTTGTTATTAATACTGCTTTTAACTCTGAAGTATTCCGTCAGCAAGGAACCGGAGTAAGAAATGCAAATAACCTAAGAAATCAAATTCACCCAATCGATAATGGTGTGACTAAAGCCTATTTGCCACCTACCTTCGAACAGAGGACTTCAGGAAACCAAAATGGAGGAGCCCGTTTCGGTAACCGAAATCGCCAGTCAAGCTTCACGCCTAGAAACGGTTACAACTATTAGCACTTTTGATTTTATTATGGACTTGTGAATATATTTATTACCAACTGAAATGTCGTTTTTTTACCCATAAGTTTGCTCTTCTTTTATACTTTTGTATCGAGATCAAAAAATAATAATGAAATAAAATTAAAATTGTTTTAATATCAGAAAAAACATACAATAGGTAAAAATCTGTTGGTTTTGTCACTAGGCAAGCCTGTGTCGAGGAAACCTGAGATCAAAGTTCATTAAGGGCTATTTTTTATTTATTATAATTTTATTTATTTATAATTATCTTAAACATCTTATCAGACAGATTGTATTAACAAACACACAAAACAGCAATAACAGAACTGCTTATTGTTTAAAATCTATGAAAATAAAAAGAAAGAAACCTAAAAAAAATTTATATAACTGCAATATATTAATACATATGCATTTTAAAAATAAAATAAAACTTAAGACAATAACAATATTTACCTAACAATTTCACAAATACTAACAATCAGGAAAAGCTAGTTCTTTACAACTCTTCTGTTTCATCATAATATGATAAAGTGACCAACCATTTGAATGTAATTAATTTCGCAGATATGTAGTTTTTATTTGTAATATTACAATGGTTAACGACCCTATTATAAATTTGGCTTTTTATAAAGTAGCTAAAACTTTGTTCAAATTTAGTATTGACAGATGGTATGGAAAGTTTGTATACCCTGCGATTTGTCAGTAGTTTGTGGTCATGGGAAGATAATATGTATTTGTTGTGAGTTGTGAGTACCTAACTTCAGCTCAAATATATAAATAATGATGTACCGTTATTGCAGTTTTTCAAAATACGAGAAAATAAGGAAATTATCCCAAATTGAATGTGATTTACGGCAACAACGATTTTGCCTTCCGATCGACCTATACGAATGTGTGCGTGCGCAGTAAAATCAGTTAAGACAATGCATTACCACGAATTTTGAATTTAAAAAATAAAAGGACAGAATTTTTGAGATCTTTTTTAATTAATTTTTCTATATTATTGTGAACCTTCTTTGCAAATTTGGCCGGTTATTACACAATAACCCTGTATAATATTAGCTAATTTTACACAAATTATAATAAATAGTTAATCACTCAGAAAACTCATCGCGCCACCTACCGGAAAAATTAGAGCAACATCTGCCTGGCCACCTCATATTATCTTTTTATATGTAATGTTTTGGTGCGTTTTTCAGTGGTCGTGTACTTCAGAACGACTTGACTAACAACAAAATAAAAAATATATTATAATATTGTAGATATGTTCTTAATATTTACAATATTATAATATATTTTTTATTTTGTATATATATATATATATATATATATATATATCCTAATCCTTATATATATATATATACCTATACATATAACAGCGTAAATAAGATATTCAATAACTAAGGTCGGTGTGAACCAGAAATTCGAAACTTATCATGCTACGTTGTTGTCTGGCCAGCTAATATTCTGCATAAAATGTTATAATTATATTTACTTAAAAGTGTACTCGCCCGAACAGGGACTTGAACCCTGGACCCTTGGATTAAAAGTCCAATGCTCTACCGACTGAGCTATCCGGGCTGTGTTTGAATTGGTCTAAATTTAACATTCAGTTCTGTAGTAAGTTCCAATTTTTCGTGTTGATGCCGTGGACGAATTTATCATCGTAGTCTTAGATCATTGGTGTCATAAGTAACGATTATGTGTAATACCAATGTTTTAAAGATGACGGAATAACCGACTTGTTTATGCCAGACGTTTGTTTTAGAATTAGGTGACAAACTAGCAATCAGTCCACCTGATGGTAAGTGGACGATGTGGCCGAAAGACATTTACATCTATTTTTGATTAACAATTAAAAATGCGTTTTTGTCTTTGAGAACTAAGACGGAATGCCTGGCTTCAATTAAAAAGAGTCGCCAGTTCTCTACACTTATCATGAAAAACACAGCAGCATTAATCTGCGTTAGAATACTAGCCCAGATAGATAACACTCCATTCTACCTCGATCCAACCGGGTATTTTATAGACGCTCCGATACGGCCGTCCTCGGGCGTGTATTTTCATGCATTCCTGTAACAAACACTAATTCGTCCGCTCGTCCATCCTGACATGAGTGGGTACATATTATTAGTTCGGAAAACTAATTATTAGATGGCGCTGCTTGTTGCGCTATGGCGCCATCAATCCATGACACGGCCATTCCTGACTAGCACCAATTTTCGGTTGCAGTGTCTGTGGACAAATATATGCTCAGAGTAGCTCGGCTATCCTGCCAATAGAAACAAGGTCGATTCCAAATGGTACTTTACTTCTCCTAAGTCTAAGTACAATAGTCAACTGTCATAATTGACAATGCCTTGTTATTAAGGCTTCTTACACAGTGCTTCGTGCACAACATAATTTACTGTGAAAGATCCGATCAACAAGCTCCAACACAGTAATATTAACAATTTTGTTACTTTTTACCGTAATTCATAAGCAATGCATATTCAACTCGTGAAACTTTCATTGAAATCTGTGCACCAACACAGACCAGAATCGCACCAACGATTCTTTACATATCCGCCGTCACATATGCCAGAATCGCACCAACGATTCTCCACATATCTGTCGTCACAAATGCTATAATACACGAGGGGCTCTGTGCACCAACACAGGCCAGAATCGCACCAACGATTCTTTACATATCCATCGCCAAATATGCTACAACACATCTGCCGCCACATATGCCAGAATCGCACCAACGATTCTCTACATATCTGCCGTCACATATGCCAGAATCGCACCAACGATTCTCCACATATCTGCCGTCACATATGCTACAACACATGAGAGGCTCTGTGCACCAACACAGACCAGAATCGCACCAACGATTCTCTACAGACCCATCGCCACATGTTACTCATGAGGTGCGGTCTAAAGTTTTGAGTATGAGTATACAAGCATTCTTAATCAAATTTGGTCTCACTGCCACTGTCATCAACTATGACTTCTAAATCTCAAGGAACTTGGTGCTCGGGGATCTTCTTCACATGATCATGGGGGGTATTTGTCCTACTTTGCACACTAACATGACCGCTACGGTTAAATTTACAAAATTACTCACACTTTTGCCACAACACAATCTTTGATGGTAGGGCATTTGGCCCAGAATCATAATAAAATGGGTACGACTCACCAGTATTCATCAGCACACCGCTGGGATTGCTCACATAGTACAGGTCAAACACGTCGCTCACTGCTCGTCTCTGCGGCAAGCATAAGGCAAGCGCACGTGGCTATTAAAACAAACCAGCACACACCATAATTAGCTGCCATGAAACAAGCTCACGTGGTCAAAACAACAGCACAGGGTGTGCCGCACTCGCATAGCGAGCCGTCGCATCTCACCAGCGCCAGCGAGATGCTGCACTGTACCACGCACTCCAAAGCGTCAACGGGAACAGCAGGAGCACCTGAGGTTTCACAGGCATCTTCGAGGTTGCAGTCATCGTGATCTGCGTGAAAAACAATTTGTTAATTATCAGGACAACATACACAGTTGCCTATTCTCTCATCCATCACACATACGAGGCCCTCAAACAGAAATACGCTCTCATACCGTGGACTATAATAAAGCACTTAGCTTTCACTAGTAAGCATACATCTCACATCTCCATACGAAGTATCTCACACATACTCTTACTTGAATGACGTGAACCAGGACAGCGCCTGCCAGGACAGACCCTGACGCATGTTCAGAGAACACGACTTCCGCGCATACAGAGTATAAGACTTCCGCGCACACAGTGTACGACTTCGGCGCACACATAGTGTAAGACTTCCGAGGCACGGCCGGGACGGCGCCTGCGTATACGCGTCTGCCAAAACCAGGTCATGTTATAACTGGACCCGGCAGTCCGTCCCGACCAGCAAGGCACACACACTCACCTCAAACTCGCGCACATGTAGTCACATCACACGTGCTATTGTAACGCAAAAGAATACATTAAAAAGATTCAGTAGGAACTTTTTAAAAAAAATGCAGCAGTACTCTCAGGACACTATTCATCTTTGCAGGGCACCATATACTGAGTTGCAGCTACACGACAACCTCTGGTACGGTCCGATCCGCATGTAAACTTAAATACTAACGTCAATGTCAGAACTAATTTGCTCTACTTCAATTTCGTCTGTTATAATTTGGTTTTCTGGCATTTTTCGCAACCAACTCGTGTATCAAATGGTGATCGGTAGCAGCGGCAAATAATGTGTCCGCGGCGTTATAAGCCGACAGCATAGTTCCACTCAAGAGCGACCTCCACAGCACCACGCCTTCCACTAAACCCTCAACATTAAATCCCAATTTCGTCGAAAACAGAACACTCTGATTAAATTGTAACACTTGTCAACACATTAGAATACAAGAATAATACTTAGTGTTTTTAATTCAGAGCACGTTAAAGTTAAACATTTTTTTCGATACGTCGTTTAAACATTTTGAACTTTAAAATTATCCCATGTAAATCACACCTCGTATGAAATATCAAATTATAACATAATTTGAGCAAGTTAAATATCCACTGAATGCAAACTATAACTCATTTAGAATACCTCCAACATTTCCTTCGACATTTCTTATCATAATTGGGGACGTTAAGAAATAATGAAAGTACCTGCGGGTACTTTTTATTATAAATCGAACAAAACATTTAACTTTTGGCTTAAAACATTTCACTTTAAACTTTTACTCTACACTTTAATGATTCGTCAGTCTCGTAAATACGACAGCAAACTTGATTTAATAAATTGAACACTAAACAAAATGCGAGGCGCATCATAGTATTTCACCAACGTTATAAGCCTCACACTATTCAAAGGTGGACAGTAACAGGGACTTTATCCCAATTCTGATATCGGAAATGACAACAGGAGATCCCACTTCTGATGTCGGAGAATTCAACAGGAGATCCCAATTTTGATCTCGGAAATACATCAGGATAGCGTTAACT